CACACACACACTTATTCACTACAGTTAAAAATATCATATGACTCGACCACCGCTTTTCTTGTTGCTCAACATTTTGTAATTATATATTTTGTGTAAAATTATTTATTAAACACAATTTAATTAAAATTCTAAATCAATTTATTATAAAAACCATATGTCCCTATTGCCCAATTTACCACAAAATTGTGGGTTAATAATAATTTTGGCTTTGCCCAGGGTTAACAAATGTCCAATTTAAACTTTGATTAACTAAAACATTTCTAATTATAACTAATAATTATAACATAATGTTTGTTTAAATTATTATCTATAAATTATGTTTAGAAATAGTTGATTGCGTTATTACGGATGTGAATATCGTCAAGAAATATAAAACTTAAAAAATTAATTGATTGCGTAAATTAAAATTCAATTACTTATAAATATAATTAAATTCTTAAAACCATATTTTCAACAAAATGAGACCATATTAAGGCAAATCACATTTTGCTACTATTTCTAACTTAAATTCTTAACAGGCAAACAAAGTGAGACGTTTAAGAATTGCATTCATTTATTTATTATTTTATTGCATTAAATAATTGCTATTTAATTATTAGTAATATTCAAACTGGGAAATGAATGGAATCACTCAATACGGGAAATGTATTGTAAGTTTAATCCATGTGGTGGCAAATTTATCTTAAAAAATAAATTCATTGACGTATTTGTCAATTCGATATCGATATCAATTGTAATATTAATTACTTTAATTAAATTATATAAAATCAGTTAAACAATAAGCAAATTGATAAAAAGACGAACCACTTGTTTGCAAAACTTATTTTTGCCTAAAGTCTTTACAGGTAAACATTGTAAGACATTTAATGATATGTATAATTATTGCATTCATTTAATTTAACTTTTAATGTATAGACTAATAAATAAACTACTATTAAAATTATCTTATTTACTCACAGTATTATTAATACTAAACGTACCCAGAAATGTATCATGATGCATGCCAGTCAATTATTTATAATAGTTTACTTAATCCATAGCTTGAACTGACAGCCCCGTAAACAGAATGAAAGCCAACACCATATGTGTGGTCGGTATAGCGCTGGTCATTGCCATCGCGATGTGTGGCGACCACACCGTCAGCGCCACTCCGTTGGGCTCAACATCGAGCCAACAGCTTCATCGGGACCGACGCTCAGCCCGAGCTGAACCATCACCGGTGGCCGCGGCGGCGGAAGATGGTTGTGGTGATATGTGTTAATGAAATATGTGCACAATGAACCCGAATGCATGTTATTCATAAAGTTTATTACATATTAATTATTTATTGTTTTGTATTACTTTTATATGAACTTTGCAATTAAAACATGATTAAGAAATTAATTGGTAATTATTGCATATATAATTAGTAAAGCCTCTATTTTTCGGGAATTCCCGATTAAATTTAGTTACTCAAATGATCGGGAATAACATCCCATTAATCTCGAGAGTTATAAAGGCTCCAAAATATATCATTTTTATTTTCCCGAATTTTCCCGATTTTGGCATATTTTGCGTAAACTCCCGAATTGCCCATTTTATTCCCGATTTGTTCGAAAACTCCGTTTTTATTGAAAATAATAAAGAATTTAGCATATTTAGATATAAAATCTAATAAATGTTAGCGTTCAATATGAAACTATTTTAATTATAATACGAGTTAACACATTTATATGGGCAATATTAAAATATATTGTGATTTCATGATCACATATATTTCAAAATTAGCAAAATTTGTAAAAATCAGAATTTGAGAAATTAATTTACCATATAATTACAGAAATTACATAGTAATATGATGAAATTCACTTTAATACAATTTATAAGTCATTTTTAAGCAACAAAAATACCCAATAACTTCATTTACATGCTTAATTTTGTGAGTTTTTGTTCCCGATTTTATTCCCAAATTTGACCTTTTCATACTCCCGATTCCCGCCCGAATTTTAGTGTTTTTAGTCCCGAAAGATAGAGGCTCTAATAATTAGCAATATTAAATCAGGCTAGAGTTTTACTGTTAAATCGTATCCTGCAAGTTTTAATTTTCCGCCCACAGTGATTTGCTAATTTATACTTAAAAGCAATTTATGTATTGTCAAAAAAGTTGTTCGTAATAAAATAACGTAGTTTAGTTAGAAATTACAATTTTAATTAATTATTAATTAGATTGATTATTTTAAAAAACAAATAAAAACTATATTCCATATAAATAGATATAAAATATACAAGTTTGAATATAAAAACTTTATAGCTTAACCGTCAGATGTTTTAATTGTTTGATTGATTCTCCATAATAATCACAACGAGTTAAACTAGATTAAACCTGTTAAAATGCAACAATTTAGGGGCTAAAATGGGCAATAAGGGCACATGACATTCGCATTACATTAACTTAAAAATTTTATTAAATTGTTTTTTAAAGTAAAAATTTTACACAATTTGTGGTGCCACAGGAAAAGTGGTAATGGAGTTAAACACTAAATGATATGTTTAACTCCTGCACCTCTTTTCGAGAGAGAGAGAGAGAGAGAGAGAATGTTTTATTAAATATTGCATTAATATTCATATAAACCGCAAGAAGTCGCATATCATTGTCGCTGTCCTTTCAACCATATAGTATTTCAATTATATTTAGTAGAATAATCTTTAATTAATCAACTAGGACTATAGATGTTATAACATTCAAAACATTATGATTTATATAATTATATGAAATATCATTTAAATTTGTTTTACACCTACAATGTTGCATTGCCAAAATGAACACAAGTGTAGTTTACTTATCAATTGATTTACTAACACAATAATTATATTTATGTTAAGTGATATACCATTTATTAAAACAATTGTTTATCCTAATGTATACAACACACAATGGTTGACCAGTGATCACAATTAATAGTACGTGATCATGTACCCACAATTTTAATTTAAATTATAATACCATATTTGTAATTCTAACTTCACCAATTATCATAGACCTCTACATTTTACATAAGCCAATATTAATTTAAGCATGTTATAAATATGATCAATTAAGCAATATAATAATTAATTTATAACTCAACATGTATGACACGAAATGACAGGTTATTTTTACAATACAAAATGATTAAAATAAAGTTAATGCTATTAATGCACCAGGAATTGTTCTGTAATATTGCAACAGAATCTAACCATGAGTGCTTATAAAGCCAATTTTATTATATTGTTTTATTAAGGTGAGAATATTTCATTCATCATTGGCCCAAAATATTTAGCAATGTGCTTATATTTAGTTACAAACATTTTGCCCTGCATTTCATTTAATACATTTACATCACTTAAAGTTATTATCAGTTTTTGTAATCTTGGCTGTGATTCTGATTCCGAGCGGTATTTCAATAGTAGATATCTTTGAAACTTTCACTTAACAGTAGTTTTATGCACTAAATTTGGTTGATTTGGATTAAACAGCAGTATTGCCGTCAACTTAGCATAATAATAATCATTTCAGCAATTAAATAAATTAACATGTCAAATTAATAACTTATTACCAGGTTTATAATAATCGGGTCGCCGTAATCCCACACCAGTATAAATTGTCCATAGTAATATTTCAACGAGTTATAATGTTTCTGTTCAAACATACACAAATCAATCTGAACTGATCTTAAACTATCCTAGATTAATAAAATAAAATAATAAGCATGTTATTGACCAAGGTATAAATAAAACTCATATAATGATATTAAAAGTGGCATGATAAAACAAGCACGATCCTGGTGATAATATTTCAAATTCCGGATTAACATCAAGTCTTTGCCGCCGTATTTAACTAAAGCCAAGCGATCGTTGGGACAGATAGTGTTGAATGCCATCAAATGTTGTGCAAAACTGATTAAATCGGTCACAAATTTCTCATTCAAATGTGAATAATTCACAATCATTTTTTCCAAGCCTAATATTTCTTTAACTATTTTCTCATTATTTAACCGATAGTTGAATACATTGGAAGCGGTCATCAATTCCCGCATCCGATTGCACTCCAATTGATTCAAACCCTTATAATCTATTAGTTCCCGGAATACGGGAATTACTGGCAATTCCGGTGACTCTTCATTACTGGCAGCGAATATATTGTTTGTCACATTGTATTCAATATCTCTGATCTGTTCCCTAAGCTCTTCGGCACTCGTATTAATTGTGTTTTCTAACAATATATCAATTTCTTGACAAAAATTATTGTCAATTTGTTTTGAATCAGTCGACGAGTGACTTGTAGTCAACGAGGAGTTACAATAACCTGAATTAAAATTAACACATAATTAGATTAATGAAATAATTTACATATTTATCACATTACAGCCCTAACAGTGGGCCGCACTCACACTAAGGCGCACCCTCGTTATTATTGGTTGATATTGTGGGTGTGTATGAATGCTTTTTAGGAGTGTACATAAATGATGTGAGGGGTAGGGACAACAGGGATTTAATGTAAAGTTAATGCTTTAAATTATTAATTTATAAACAATTAAATATTTAATACATTATAAACTGACTATCAATGTGAGCATAACTTTAGATATTATAGTTTTAAGTGAATAACAAAAGCTTTTATTAAATTTGAATATTAATTAATTTTAATTACAATAATTATTAATTTATTGTGAACTATAATTGTAACACAAAGGACAAAGTTCAATTCAAATGCATAAATGGCCAAAAATGGCCAAAAGTTTAAAATTAAAAATATAATTATTTATTTAATTTACAATAATACTTATAATTTTAATTATAATTAATTTTTATATAAATGAACTAAAATTAGAATCTACTAAACCATAAATAACGCACAAAATTAACAGTCAATTTCTTAATTTTGGTATAACTTTTGCCGATTACGTCGGAATTGGAAAATTCCTATGGAATCTTATTCCACCCATCCATACCTATCCATTGATATATAATATGATATACTTATTTATAGAATACAAGATTTGATATTCAAATTTTTCCCGATAAAAGTGGTCACTACGGCCAGACCCGAAAGGATCTGGACATATAAAATACATCACTCGACTACCCATTGAGTGTACTTTCATTTTATAACAATAACTCCCGGGTGCACGTTGGCCAGATTTGAACATCGTCCTTTTATACATATATATACTGTACGTAATGTATGGGTTCAGTCAATGCGGAAGCGGAAAGAGGGGGAAAGGGTGCGCCTTAGTGTGAGTGCGGCCCACTGTTAGGGCTGTTATTATAAATATAAAATATGAAATGTTTATTAAAACATTACCCAAAGAAACCACGGATTCATTGCATTGCAGTTGTTTTAGTCTATTGTTTATAACAACTTGTTTTAGTCTTTCATTTTCCTCTTTACTCCGGATTAACTCCTATTGAATACGAATTATAAATATTTTAATTAATTAATTACTTGTTTATTAAAATCACACACTTTTCTCATTCCTGCGGCCAAACACTTGTCGAGCCGACACTTTTTACACCACTTTCTGGTCAATAGGTTTATAACGCATTCACCGTTTGATTGACAAACCAATGGCTATAAAAAACCAGAAAAAATACAATAAAATTAATTATATTTTTTGTATAAATTAATAAAACCTGATTTTTGGGCGCAAATGTCCTGAAAAATGCTTTACAACAATCGCAACTAATCGCACCAAAGTGCCTTGCTGCATATTTTTAAATAATTAAAGTTAATTCAATTGTATGTTAAGTCTATGGATTCATTACCATTGGCTTTATCGCCACAAATGCCACATATTTTGTTCATCTTGATTATAATTATGTAATTACTTTTGTCATAATGTTATTTAGTTTAATTCAGATAAAAAATACACTGTTTATAAAATTTTAATTTTGTAAACAACATTATACTTTACGCCATCTAAATAAATAAACATAATAACAGGTTTATCAGTAACATACATATGTAAAGTTATATGAATTTCTCTGTGCAAGAAACACATCTAGGGTTGCCAACTCTGATTAAGTACCGCCTTGAAAAATACAAAAATTTTCTAAATTCACCTTGACCAAACCTTGACCACAATTATTATTGCATATTTGATTATAAATATTTTTGAAATATGAGCAAAATGTTAATTTAAGCTTTAATTTAATTATAACATTAAGTTTTATTACAATACAGTGTATTTTCCATGTAAGATACGGACTTTTTGAATACAAAAGTCTTTCTTATGAACGGTTTTTAATAAAGGATTTGTTTTGCTATTATACAAATTGGCAATAAATATTATTCTGGGTTTTAAATATTGTGTTCATTACAATAAATATCTAAAATAGACATACGGTAATTACATTTGCTCTCACCTTGACCTGTCTATGTCAAGGTGAGACCCTCGCCTTTCACCTTGACCAGAACCCTCTCACCTTGCAAATCAAGGCAAACCTTGACCAGTTGGCAACCCTAAACACATCTTTGAATGCNATATGAATTTCTCTGTGCAAAAAACACATCTTTGAATGCTTTCATAGCACTCATGCTTCACTGCAATACTATCAAAGGAGGCAATGCTTAACTGTAATGCTTCAGTATAACTCATAGCCACGCTTTGCTAGTATTGCGGTTAAGCATTGCCTCCTTTAATAGTATTGCAGTGAAGCATAAGTGCTATGAAAGCATTCAAAGATGTGTTTCTTGCACAGAGAAATTCATATTATGTTTTTTAACAGGTATAAAGTATGTTGCAAAGTATTTATAGTCAATAATATTTATATTTTAATTTTTAACTTTTAATAACAACATTGTATAACTAATTTTAAGTTACTATAGATCAAGTACTTCTTTTACAAGTGGACCTAGGTGATGTTTGTAATGCCTGTATAAGGGTAGACCAATCTTCAATTTTAACTCATTTAATAGATTTAAATCCTTTAATGAAAGCATCAGTTTTTGAAGTTTACTTCCGATTCTGACCCGTATTTCCATAATAAATGTTTGTGTAATAAATGAATATACAGTTGTTGTTCGAGTCTATAAAATATATGATAAAAAATTAATAATTTTATGTTAATTGTTAAACATTGTATCACAACTCACTTAACACTGAGTTTATGAGTTAGATTCGGTCGATTAGGGTTATAATAT